GTGTATGTCGTTTGACGCGGTGGGCGGGGTCGCGGGATGAACAACTGTTCACATCGGGCAACCCTCTGACTGTTCTCTCTAGCTGACAGAAGCGCGATCAATGACGCCGCTACTATTAGACGCAGAATTGCGATCCTGCCTGTATTCTGCCTATATACATCATCCATTTGCCGTTTTCGGACAGTATCCATAGAGAAAGGGGACGAGAAGCAATAAAAAATCACGCAAAAGCGCAAATGGATGATGTATGTAGGCAGAATACAAGCAGATCCGCAATTCGGCGTCTGATAGTAGCGACGCCATTATTCGTGCTTCTATCAGCTGGAGAGGACAGTTAGAGGGTTGCCCGATGTGAACGAGTTGTTCACCCCGCGAAAAATGGGCGGCGCGACCCCGCCCATCGCGCCAAACGACCGCCACCCTTCGCGCTCTCTCGGTGTCGGCACGGACGAATCGTCTTTTTGCCATGAGCAGTCACTGTTAAACCTCTCACACTGGCACGACATCCTTCATTGGGCTCGCAATCGTCGCGCGTTACTACTGCATCCGATTACACATCAATCATGGAATACCCTGATCTACTCGACTAATATGGTTCCCTTCAATTTCGGTGGATTCTCAAGTTAGCAGTATTTCATTCTACTTTAAAGTCCGAGAACGGACTTTTTCCAATAAGAGAGTTGTAAGGGAGAGCGAAGTTCATGAGTATTGGCAGTAATTATGGGTGATCTATTGTTTCCCTCAACGGGTTCCTTACAAGGTGGCCATGACTGAGTAGAGGCAGAGGGGATGAGAGTTGAAAGAGCGGGTGAGGCTTCGGCAGCTGAACCATCTGACGTCTTATATTTGAGGCTCGCGCACGACGACAGAAATGGGAATACGCCGCACGACGATCGCGTACGAGAAGATTGGTCTGGGCCTCGGTCGCCTCCTCGCCTCCCGCACATGTCGCCTATGGGCCCTGCTTCTTCCATACCCACAACCCTAAGCGTAGCGCCTTGTGGACGACACGCAGTTCCCTCAAACGATGACTCATGGAATACTTTCGGGCGAGTTTCTTCGAGGAATCGACCTCCTGTCTGGACCAAGGACCATCATGTCCAGCGACTGTCTTCCTCGGAACAATGCCTTGCTTGAATGGACCGTCTCACCTATCAGTTTCTCAATATTAAGTCCCACTGATTTTTCTCTTATGATTTTCTGATTTTCTTTTTTCTAATTTTTNTTTTTCTGATTCTCTGATTTTTCTCTCTCCCATCTCCTATATGGAGTTGTCACATCAGTTGTAATAATTGTCTTGTTATCGGTCTTCGATCTTTTTGATCTTTATGTATTACATGTTCGTGTATGCGCATGGGCATCAGTCTATGTTTAAAGGTATGTAAATCTGATGTTTCTTATTGCATCGTCAGAGAATATGTAGGGTTTACTCGCTTTCACTGCGCACCACGCTTACTCGATCTGCGACTGATCTTCGAACGGCAATGATACTAATAGACTGATGTTCGTTTCTGATACTCGTAGCTGTAGCACCTGGACACTGGAACGGTAATCATCCACAACATTAGTACTGTCAACGTTAAGAGAAAGGTTCGGCAGGGCGATACCATCTCGTTCAAACATTTAAGCCTCTCAAAACATGGCGCCATTCGAGATGGGAAAGTTTGGGAGTGAAGGTCGACGGCCGCTGCTTACATCGTCTCCCCGCGTGTGGTGCAGTAGGAACTAAATTGTCGCGTCGCGGCGAGAGGGAAGCCGCGCGCGAAGGAATGTAGCAGAATGCGGCAGCAGGTAAGAAATACAGAAACGAAGGAACTAACAGTAGAATCATGACCAAAATAAGGATCGCATATCGGTTGAGCTGTACGAAGGACGCTAGAGCTGTAATAACGGTGAAGCGAAGTCCGCGACAGCCGCGTACGGCGAATCGATAACAGAAAACCGTTCCTCCTCTCCGTCTCCCCTTCTTCCCCTTGCAAACGGCATTGTGCTTGTAGCACTGAACATAGAGCAGACGGAACGAATGCGGACCGAATTCGACAGTGTTTGTGGGAATTTAGCGGAGATGGTTTTAATGAGGAACGGATGAATACCTGGCGCTCCCTTTATGGTGAGTGGAACGAATCGGGTCTGGCATCTTCTCCCCGAACGGCGTGTCGCACTCGCCGCACGCGATCGCGCGCCAGGAAGGAAAGGATTTGAATTCCCAATGGACGGATAAGGAGAGTCGCCACAGAACCACCGCCGCAGGCCGTGGGAATTCGGGGATAAGTTCCGTTACCCGAACGAGTATATCTGAATTCTCTAGCTACGCGTATTTACGTAGAGAACTCGATATGATGAACGATCAAGCCGAGCAGAAGGAAACATGTGGCGTGGGGAGCATTCAAGAACACGAGGGAGTAATGAAGAAAAGAAAGAGCATCCGGACCCACTTTTACCTCTTCGGCACTGTGGTCCTTCTTGCTTTGACGCAAATCTCGGAGACTTGGATTCTACAAAAGCGGCATGAATATGCTGTTGGCGTATTTCAACGCGCTGGGGAAAAGCTGCACGAATAGCTGAATCGCTCAGAATTTCCCTACACATGCAGGTGCAGAAGGGTCATCCAGCGTGGCCATTTTTTGACTCTATCGGCGGAATTTTATTTTTTTGCTCTAACAATTGTTGGTCATTCAATCATGAGCTTATTATGTCCAGATATGGTTTCGAAATATTTTGCGTGCTTTACATTTGCTCTAGAGAGTAAAGATGGCAAACAACGATCGTTTTTGCAGTATATTCCTTTAAAGAGGCGCAGGTGTGGTACCAAAGTTGAGATTATAAAAATAAGGGATTTTTTAAGACCCGTAGTACATAGCTTCAATGTTATTCGATGGGTCGAGTAGAATGTGGAAATATAGCTAAATAAGATAAGAGTACAACTGTGTTGCACTTGTGGACTTCACGTTCCCGAGCAACCAAAAAAAGTAAAATTCACATATGGATTACATTATTGTCGATGTGTTAATGTTGCCCTTCACAGACCGATCGACCAATACGAAGAGGGATGGGGAAGATGACCACCCTGTTCAATGAAACTTACTTCAGAGAGTCATTTGGCGAATCGGCACTTAATGTCTCAGGATGCGTGTATCGGTGTACCATTAAATGCAAATGGCCCAATTGACATGATGACCCTCCCTGCAGAATTTTTGCCCTAACTTAGAGCAGCAACTGTGAAACTACTAATACTAATAATGAAATAACGAACACTTGAGGGCTTGCACTCATAGTGAGTCAATGTTTATTCAGGAAAAGCCTGCATAGAAAAGTGCCATGAATTGTTAAGAGATTGCAGAAAGGACGTACCCTTGATCAGAACATTCGAACAACGATATACAGGTAAATACAATTGTACATTAACGGCGAAAATGTAGTTGAAAGAGGACACCGCTCTCGTCCAATGTTGAGAGCTAGAGGGGTAAGCGATCCTGAGCCTTAAGAGCTCATAACGGTGCTTAGAAGTTCCTTGGCCGAGGAAATACGATTTTTTTAGAATGGGGGAAGGACCACCGCGGTTGCTGAGTCAATGTAATGTTCCAACCTGACCCCATCTCGGCTTTTTGCACGAGGTTATCATTGTCAGCAACCTAGGTCCTCCTAACTTGGGGCTTAAGCCAAAACACTACTTTAGTTAATAAGAACCAGCTCTAACCAGTGAAGTTTGCTTCCTTTTTTCCTTTGCGTAATAGCGCCCAATGTTGGATGATAGCGGTGACCCCCAGCCCCCACTACATTTTGACTTACATTAATCAGCAAACCGGCAACAATGTCTACAGACTGTCCAATTTTACATATCAGCTTCGGCCAACGAAATTTGCTCTTTAACCTCCTGTGAAATGGGCTCCACGTGCAGTGTGTGGAATCGATCGAGTTTCTTTCCATTTAAAAAACATGCCTGAAGAATTGTTTGAGGTGATAACGATAAAATTTAACGCAGTCTGTTGTTGAAAAAAGACTAGTGAAGCCTATGAACCGATTACAAGTAAGAACTATAACCTAACCTGATATGCTAGAAATTTCGTGGCAAAAGTGATAGTGGCCCTATCTGAGTTCAAAACCACTCCCGTAACCTTCAAACCATGAAATAGTTGAGCTACACCGAATTCGTTGAGCGAAGAAGGGTATCCGGACACTTGGACGGCAGATTCTTCACGATGTACTGCAACAGATAGGGTTTTAATATCTTTAAGATATTGTAGAACCCAACCCATCCGCCGTCCAAAATATAACGTCGTCCAGAAACTGTACGCTCTCGAATATTAGATTTATATAATAGCTAGACATGATTAGCAAAACTATTTGAATAGCAAAATGGCGCACAGTGATAACAAATCTGACACACAAATGCAACTATAGAAAACAGGAACTATATGTAATGATTGGCTAAATATTGATTTTCGCAGTCTCCTGAAACCAGAATGAGAGACTCTCAAAACGAACCCGTTCCGATGAGAAGAGAAAGTTTTGCAGGAAAATCCCGAGCTACTGATCATGCCAGCTCACCGATGGGAATTACTACATAGGGTAAAAAAATCGGACCATATTCAACAAACTCCAAGATGACCAAGGAAAATGCAGAGCAACTAGATGGGCCACGGTCCGGTCTGTTTCTCTACAGCTTCGTCATTCCTCAAACCCAGGATCCTGAACTATTGAGTCACTGTGAGAGGATACTTCCACTCCTAAGAGTCAAAAAAAGGGATCTTCATCATTTGAACCGATGGCACCCTGAAGTGGACATTTCTTTGGTAAAAAATTATCATTCTGACGCCATTACTTCAAAAACCAAATGTCTAATGGTCATTTGTTTTTCGATGATTTTTCCAGAATGAAATCATGGGAGCTCATTACAGAGCCAGCTTCAGTATATCTCTGGTAAGAATGTAATTCAGTCAAACCGAACAATGTCCCCAAAACTGATGCCTACTAGGCCCATAATCAGAATTTTTCGGCCCATTAATACTTTGGAGCAGAAGAGCAAATTCATATGTTGACGCTTGTTTGACTGCTAACATTGAATGAGATTTGGTAAGACACAAATAACGCAATGAACTAAATAAATACTTACAAGGCAGCAAATCTGGTGATCCGGAGAGGACAGTGTTCACAGCAGTTTGCATGGCATCTTGGTCGATTTTAGCGTTTATCGGCACAGCTTTACCCGAACCGACACGGAGATCGTATGGTTTATACATTCTTAATAGTAAACAAGTGAATGAGGTAAACAACACTTCCCTTCAGTCAAAATTGACACTCACGGATCTTTATCGAGACAAAGCTTGCTTGTAGCTCTCGCAATCCATTGTGCTACATTTCTGAAGCAGACAAATTATGAGTTCTTAAAATAGTACTGCAATGTTTTTTTTTCACGCTAAGAATCAATAGAAACAAAAACATTTTGAGGAACTTTTCTTCTTCTCATGTCAGAACTACGCGACCACTTCAATTAACCAACGAGAAATTACATTCATAATTACAAAATATAATTTATAATCAAACACAATTACCACAGAACTCACGCAAAAACCTCATTCGGGTCGTTTCCCAGCTTGGCGACACTGGCGAATCTATCTAGAGCATTATCCAGCAGTACTCCTTGTCGAACGAAACCATGAATTGAACTAAGCGTGCGCATCCACTCGTATTCACAAGCGTTCTTTTCAGGTAGGATATGGAGGACGAACATGACTGCAGGCCAGTTCTGGAGACAAAGGTATATCAGCTTAGACAAATATGCACTGGTACCGAAACACAAACAGTAACAGGAGCATTTGCAGTAACTGGGGTGGTTGGGAGAGGTCGAAATCTTCTGATTAGTAACATCTTTTTTCAAGCTCTTAACAGAACTACCCTATTCCGAGATTATACAGTGGTCTATATTAATGCCAAAAATCCAGTGTACACATCCATAATATCTTACGATCTTATACGAAAAACTGTAGGCAACCATTATACTAGATTCTTCTACGAGTTTTAAGGGTAACCCTACACTGTTTTGAGAGAACTCTCGCCAAAATTTTGTAGTTGCAGGCAAAAAACAGATCCTTTTCGCTGAAATTTTGGCCTTAACAGACTTCATCTGCTCGTGTGGGAGGCTACTACTCCCAAACCGATGTTCCGATGTTCACAACTTATATTATTGTACTATTAAGGACGAGAAAAAAAGAACACTACCTTTCTAATGTTTTCGTACGCCGTAGCACAGGCATTATAATCTCCAACGGGAACATGCTGTACGACCTTAGGTCTTTCCTCGAATCTTGCGTAGATGTTCATTCTACTTGCAACGCAAGTGACTTTATCAAGAAACCATGAAGAAAATTCACTGAAAACGACACCTATACCGGATCTCATACAGGATTGGGTAGGAAGGAAACCTCAATGTGTTGATCAGTCTTTCATCGGGAATGGAACATACGACAGCCCATCGCATACGTAATGCATCGTCCTCTTCTCCGAAGAACATACCTAAGCAACATTCTAAATTCAACGTCGATCGAGCTATAACTCCTTCACAACGTTCACAATTATTTATCAAGACAGAGGAGAACCCAACAAGGCGCATATGAATAAAACCCTAAAATCAAGGTGTAACTAAATTCAATACTTTCAATCACTTAAACTCTCCGTGGTCATTCACAGCCGCGAGCCCCTGTAGTTCTGCCCTATTTGTTTCCGTATCTTCTTAGTGTAGGCCATACTTCAATAGCAAGTAGTCGCTAGCGCTTACGCAAATGAATAGAAGGCAAACTTGCTGACCTGCTTTTATACATAGTTTGATAGGTGTATTTGTATATGTACTTGTATGTGTGTATGTGTAGCTGTGCATGTGGTATATGTCTGACAAGAGCCAGTGAATGTTCATGCATTTTGTATTATTTGTTTATTTGTTTATCATTTATTATCGATACAGCCCTGGCATTCCAGTGAGTGATAAGGGAAGTGGCGGATTTGTTTATGTTAACTGGGACACGCTTCCATATAGAGTGTGACAGGAGCGTAAATATTTGTGAACGGAAGTTGGTAGTGATAGATGTGAATCGTAAAGTGTCACAGAAAGAAGGACCAAGAGGAGCATCGCTTAAGGCCAATATCATTCAGAAATAACAAAATGCGTTTCGATTCTTACAAACATTATACAGACCCAAAGCTTTTACATTAACTTAAGAAGAGACCACACTGTTCCGTAATTCTGACAACACCTACGACAAAACTTATCCGAAACCAACTTTTGTAAAGCTTTACGAATGGTCGTTTATCAAAGTAAAAATCATTCCATTCGGACTTGAAAAGAGTGGGTACCACAGATGACAAGTCGAGCTTATAAAGATTTTACTCCATGAGCAAACCTGTGCAGTTAAAAACTAATGAGTGAACTACCGATGGGTGATGAAGTTGTTGATGATAAAAGTAAAAGGTAACCTTTGGCGTTAAGAGATGGGCCAAAGATTACCGTTTACGTCTAATAGATGCGTCCCCTCATTCCAGTTCTATCCAAATTCGTAGTATCTTTTCCTATGTGTCTGTGGCCTATCCAACGACTTGAGGTGACCAGACAGTAAACAAAATAGTGTTTTCATCCTCCAAAAGAAGTTTGGTACTAATTAACCGAACCGGAGGGATGGAAGGCTTAGTTGGCCTGACTGGATAACGACCCAGGATTGGATCAGAGGGCTACTCGTGGTGTGTGATAGCACCATACACTTGCCACTAAACCTCCTCGCCCTTAAAATTGTTGTTATTATTGATGAACTTATATAAACCATTTCCTATACAGGCCTGAATCCTTCTCATTCCTACCTTTCTCCTCCTCCGATCTTGTGCACTAAAGACTGAGAAAATTCGAGAGAAAGAATAAAATGATTTCTTATAAATGTTTATCTTACAAGTAGTTCAAAAGCAAACCCAAATCCCACATTATATAATGACTAACTCGCGGCAGAGTCCATGTTTTCTCCAAAAGTTCTACGCCCGAATAGCTGGCATATTACCCACTCAAAAACCTTGTGAACAGCTTCAAGGAGCTGTTTTCTTCAACTTTTCACTAGGTTTGTGCATAAGCTTTATTAGACTGACATTTCGGCAGGATCGCCTTCTTCGCCTGTGAACAGTAAGTCAACGGGAGAAAGGAGTGCTATATTTATCAGAATTTTTACCTTTTAAAAATTTCTAAAGTTTTTTTTTGAAAACATTGATTTTAATGAATAGGACTCAGAAAGTACCCCGACGAAGAATTTGCGTCTCGTGTGAGTCCATAATTAGAATACCAGTTTATTGTAGTAAGATAAAAGCGGAACACACCTACTAAGCTACACAATACATTAGGAACGTTGGAATCACGATGGATGAACTTAGGAACCTCGCCGACATTGAGCGCTTGAGCACAGAGAAAGAGGGATAGCTGACTTCGCAAGCCCATAATTGGTGATTAGGAATCAGCCGAAAAACTATATTTTTTTTTCTAAGCCTAGGAAAGCGAGGCAAGTAGCTACAGGTTAAGTTACCTAAATGTTTAATACTTACCCCTTAGCTTTTTACACCAGGTAGCCATCGCACCCATTACGATGCTCATTCAATACTTGGGCTTCGCTAAAAACTACATTACCTTTATAAGAACAGTCTCTAAGCACAAGCAAGTGGTAAGGTCGGTCATCCCTCCTTGTTTGCCCTCTAGCGCTCGATGTTGAAGCGGAAGAGGTGTCTCCCCAACTACATCTCACCTAAATAGGTGACTATCTATGTTCTACACCCCAATCAAAGCGTCACTCATTGGCGATGTGCTTCGATCTTTCTTCAACAAAAAAAAAAAAAAAACGAAGTTACAGCGGAGACTTGTTCCGCTTCATAAAAGAGCATGGAATTCGCAGTTAATCAAGTGCATCTATTGGTTTGTAAAACCAAAAATACACTTCAGAAGGAAACAAAGAGAACAAAACACTTTGACATATGGAAATTCATGATCTCCAACATTAACCGTAAACAAGACAAAGGAAGAAATGACTTCCAAATACGAGCATTTCCCGCAAAACTACAGTAGGCTCATGTGGGTTGGAGCGTGTCAGAACACTGAGAGTACCTTTGAACAAATTAGCATAAGTGCAAAATAGGAAGGAAAAAGTAGATTTAACGTTGAGCAGCCCGGTCGAAGGATAGATCACGTATTCGACTTCCATCAACAATCGCAAATCGCATGGTATTTGAGTCGTTAAAGGCCTTTTTTTCAAGAAGTGACAGCTCCCCTTGGCTCCACATAAAACTAGATGTATGACGATTGGCAAGAAGTCCGAAATTTCTTCTAGTCTTCATACAGTTGAGGGGTTTACAATCACTCTTGTCACTTCTGTGAGAAACCTAGGTTTTCATTATACTGACACACTTGATTTTTCTAAAAACATTAGGTCCCGGTGTATCCTGGTCTTATTGCGTACATTGCACATCTTCAAGGGGTTGTCTTCCACGAATAAGTTCATCCTTCTCAATGTTTATAAAGCATATGTTCGGCCCTTGGTAGAGAGTGGTGCTGCTGTGTTCGACCCATCTAGGAGAAGGGATGTTGAAGCATTTGAGAAGGTACAAACCAATTTTACGCGTGAAATCCTTTGCCGAGGTAGTTTTTTTTTNAACTCTCTACTTTGGAATCACGGCGCGAGGTATTCGACGTATGCATGGTTTACAAGCTATTGTACCAAAGTAATAAATTTGGTCCTTTTGATTTTTATAATATGGCTCATTCCCGAAACAGAGGCGGTCGGACCGAATTAAATCTCCCTAGGCTCAGAACCAGTATAAGAGCCAGAAGTTTCTCATTCGGAGCGGCTAGCCTCTACAAAAAGGTAACAAAAACATGATCGCTCCGGATTAATTGACTAAGTTCAAACGCTCTGTGGAAGTAATTTTATCTATGTATGAGCTTTCATAGTTCCTTGAGTTGACCATTTCTTCTTCTACGCCTTTGTTTTATATCTAACCTTGGAGCCACACTATTTGCCTTATTTTACGTGCTTTTCTTTGTACGATTACGCTTTATCAACGTGTGTTCCTTGTATTTGCTCTGTTTCAGAAGGTTGGTATCATTTTTGTACTACGTTTGCCTTAGCAGCGAAATAAACATAGCATAACATATCAAGTTCCACAGGCTATAATTTGTTCACTGCAGTGTGTCGTTTACACAGCCGCTGGATTAATCGAAAGCGGATGTTATCAGAAACTCTAACCTAAGGACCCTGTAGATCTTCGATGATAGCTCAATCAGAAAGATGAATGTAAACTATTCGAATCTGATTTTCAGGGAGTGGAGCATTTCTCTACATCTCCAAACCATGGTTGGTGAGGTTGGTGAACCATGCTGTTGTCACTTTCAGGCTTCGACTCGTTCGCAATATTGAAACGATGAGTAGTAGTCAGCTAGACGATGGCTATGGTCTCAACGAGAGCCATACCAATGACACTTCAAATTGCTGAAGCAGCAGAACTTCTAGATTCATGGCTTTGCTTTCTAAACTAGCTGTGAAGCCGTTTGAACTTTTTAAGACACCAAAACGAAAGAGGCAAAAAAGGAAGGTCAGGGGGAAGACTGTCGAGCAAGACGGCGCTCCTGCTCCAGCTCGAGCTCCCGCTCCAGCTCCAGTTTCGGCTCCAGCTCCAGCTGTTAAAGGTGGTATCAGCAGCCAAATGAGTAAACTCGAGAAAACGCAGCAGCAATCAACAATCACAGCAAGCACAGTGGACACCGTCGAAGGGTCAGTTGATTATCCGATGAATACTTTTTCAAGAACCCATCATATAAGTCATAAATAAAGTTACCAACGTAGAGAGGAATCGATCTGCTGTTTTCGGTTACATTTGGGTAGCATGACCTCACACCCAACTGCTCACGAAAGCTTGTGTATCGACTACTGCTGATATCATTTTCATTTTCGTAACTTGGCTGAAAATGGGGTTGTTGATGAGCATCTCTTCTTCAACATTGAGTGCAGTGAAGTATCCTTACTTGTGCTGAGAGATTGGTTCTAGCCAGAAGTTTTACCTAGCCCCAAGAAGGCAAGTATCTCCTGAGTAGGTGGGAGATCATCTCGTGTAGGAAGCTGGGGTGGGGTGAGCACCAGCATTCAGATGACTCACCCATTTCAGTTTTCTTCCCTGCTGAGGTTTAGGGAAAAAAAGCTATATCTTCTGGGTGTGGTGCGATTCACGCGTCAATATAATGAGGTCATCGGACAAAACGCGCTAAAACACTATGCCTACCATCATAATGGAAGAAATAAGAACTTATAAGTGAAACAAGTAAGAAATTGACCAACTATGCACGTTTACAGAAGGGTTGCGTTTACTAGGATCGAAAAATTTGAAGGTATTCTTATTTTGAACGTTTGACAAGTAAATTGTTGACCTATGAGGTGAATTCTCAATCTCGAAGGGTTTTTNTTTTTGCCATAGTAAAGAGTTTAGCTCTATGGTGAAGCCGTGGACTACTGCAAATTTATTTGGTCCATCCCAACAGAAAGGTGCTGAAACGATGCTGCGTGCGCGAAGGGCTCTAATGGGGTCACGCGTGAATCGCGCGCCTCCCGGATCAGCTGACCATACTAATCTACCCTACTTCAAGTTTGCGCCCCAACGATGGGTGCCAAAGTCGTCTTAAATGCCACGAATCTCGCCGCGCCATTTGCCGCGTCCACCCAGTTCTGAGTGAATGTTCCGTCTCCCTCCCCAACCACATTTTGCAATAACGCCACATGTGCCATTCGTACTTCATATGTGCCAACAAAGTTACCTCGTGCCACGAGGGATCGATCTGATTCACACGCTTTGCATCATAAGAATGTTTGGAATGTGATTTTCAGAACAAGCTGCTCTCCTTTTGCTACCCAAATGTCATGAGCTCTCTTATTGCCTCTGAGCTGCCTTCATTTCCAGCGAGATGGCATAAGTTACATGAGTCGACCGATTTTATCATCCTATCCTACTTTATATAATTCGCTAAGTGTGTCTGTTGGTGTGTCAGTGTGTCGGTGTGACGGTGTGTCGGTTTGTGTGTGTGTTTGACCGGAATTTGATAACTCCCGTCCCCGTGGATCCAGAGAGTTCAAATCTAGTAGGAATGTGGGGAACAGGATGGAAAGCCTCACGATAAGTGGCAGGGCCGGCCTCCGCCCACAGGAGGCGGGACGTGTGCGATAGAAGTTTTCGACCGCAAATTCATAAATCCTGCATACGTTTACCTAGAGAGTTGAAGTCAGGTAGGAACACAGGAGGCGGAGTGAGAATACTTATAGCAGGGTAGCATGGTCAGACTCCACCTACCAGGGTAACGGCGTGCGCGATAAAATTTTCGGACCGTAAATTCATAATTAATGTTGGCGCTGAAATTTGCTAGGGGTAAAGCGGCAGGATAGGAAACTCATGGCAGGTAGCATAGCCAGACTCTGCCCGTGCGCGGGGTTTGAGCAGAGTGAACGTTTGAGCGGAAATTCGTGATTTCTGTTTCTAAAGAGTTCAAATTTGGTAGGATTACAGCTTTTCGCGTTATTAGTGGAACCTCGGCATTTTAATAAGTGATGTAGGTATGACGGGATCGTCGGTGACAGAAACCGATAATAATCGATATGAGAAGATAATGAGTCTAAAAGAGCAAAGAGCAGGTGCCACCTACTGATCAAAATCCTAACGTCTTCAGTATCTACGATGTAGCTCTGACCGTTCAGTATGTTTCATTCGATAAGACGATGCCAGAGTTGGATGTGTGAGTGCAGTGATAGGGACCCATTGGAGGCATTACGTTGAACAACTGAGAATTCAGTTCATTTCTTGTTACTATTATAGATTACAGCCGCTACCCACCACGGTTTGTGATCCAAAGCTTCATTTTTCGGTATCATTTGCGGCAAAACTTAACCAGTTATCTGGAACTTTTAATTAGTGATATATCCGTAAAGAAAAAGGTCCACAAACATGTGATAATGGTGTTAGCATCACACGAAATTCTTATGAGTGCCGTCCGACGCTTTGGTTGCCTGACAAATGAATCTTTGTTTGGTATTTTTTTTTACTAAAGGAAGCAAGAGATCGAGATTTCCAATTAAAGGAGTAAGCACTGAATTACACTGGATACCATTTCAGCCCTGTGCCAAACTTCGTGTACAGGAAAATAGTATTTGCTTCAAAGAGCGTGTGGAGAGTTAACCGGTAACAACAGTCTTGTTAAAGAAAGAGGGAAGCCTCCTGTCAGCCGGGCGAATCCTCTGGTTGAATTATAGCAGATCAACACAAGCCAGGATTTCACGCCTTTCAGAATAACATTATGAGGGCTCCAAAAGTGTGAAATTCCAGTACTCAACTGTGGATTGACCGGAGCCGAAGCCGTCGTCGACGCCTTCGCCTCCCATCCTCGGTCTATGAACTAATGCGGAATTCCATGAGCTCCCTATTTTACCATCCGACACCCTCCAGCCGCATCTCTTTGAACCGTAGCACACAAACTGTCGCCTCTCCACCAGTATGATGCTCGTATTTTTCTTTGCGGATGGAATTTGACTGTGTTAAAGGGACGGTCTTCTATAATTGTAAGGTAGCCATCTTAAGTCGAAAAGCGGAAGTGTAAAGTGGAATAGTTTATCGATAGTAACAGAAGCGAGAAAATTTGCCGATCTTGAGGAAAATAAGGTTCCTCAAAGGTAGGGATGTTGGATTACCATGACGGAAGAGGTATTCGGACGAGATTCCAGTTGTTGCAACTGAACAAAGAGCTGACTACATCAAGCAAAAATGTGTTCAACACTGCGTTTCACTGTCGCTACTGGTCATGACAAGTTGATTGGACTTCCTCGGTTAGTTCTGGCTATGTCTCCGGTACGATCTCAGTCACAACAGTTCATAACTAGCAGAGTTAGAATTATTGTCTACTAGACGAATATAGAACGACCGAATACTACAGAGACTATATCAAGAATATCGACGGCGATCAGAATGCGGTGTGGACGCTGCCCGAGGCCGGATGGACGGGGTCGGAGTTCCTTGCTCGAATACCCGTTGCTGATCCTTCTTCTTCCATTCGACTCTTATCTCCACGATCTGAAAGTCGTAACATACTGCAGCTTCATACTACAGCATGAACGTCTTAATCGACTGGCTGTTACGGTAGATCCACTGCAGAATCCTGCTCCAGTTAGGGAGTATCTCAAGAGCGCGAAGATGACCCAGAACGAAATAGCCATGCTTGCAGCGGGTTAAGGGTACCTTCAACCTCTTGCAACTCCTTGCTGGCGGGTGTAGTCGCGGAGCCGAGTGGACTGCTCCTTGTAGAACATGATCACGCCGATAGCCGACGAGGGTACGTTCCGCGTTAGTAAGCCTCTTATGGTTGTAATGTGAGAGCGAGTAGGAAGTGCGTGAGGTACCTTGAACATTCACGAAGACAAAGGGAATCCTGGGGTTCGTAAGGATAACGTGCCGGATAAGGCGACTGCGTCGTTTCGTAGGCGTGCCGCTGATAAGGGAACAGCCGTATACTAAACTGTTCGGAAGCTGATTCAGCGCGGGGTGGGCCCTGAAGGTGACCAACGGAGCGAGCGGAACGTCGCTACTCAACAGCAGATCCATCACTCCTCTGGCTCCTAGTCGCGCCGCTAATGTGGTTCTAAGGCATGGCATGTGTGGTTGGAGTTGATGAGCATCTCCAATATAGACATGGTGGGCTTGAGGAAACCGGACTGCCAGCGCAACGAAAAGAGCTTAGGTATTTGAGACGCTTCGTCCGCTGTGATGATTCCGCAACAGGACAGAAGTTCGTGGAAAAGTCCTCCGGGTTTAATAGAATTCATTAGCGAAGCAGTAGTCATTTCTGCCGTGCCACATAACGCTGCTGTGGACGTTCAAAGAAGAAACGAAGGTGAGCGATGATCGTGGTGAATGATTTGCGCGTCTCTGTGTGCTCTCTGCTTTTTCACGTTCAACCCTCTCCAGATGGTCCACTAAAAAATTGGCTTGTTGCTCCACAGAGAGTGGTGAAGGGCGCATGCGCATAATGTCTTCCAAACGGTGCAATCAGACCGGAAACTGAGCCCCATCCTCGTTATATCCTGAGAAGGGGGTGATGCGTGAAGCATGGCTCCTACCATACTTGGCTAATGGCCGAATACGTAGCCGTAAATCGGTCCGTCATCCTGGAACTTTTTACGAACGGGGAACGAAAAAAAGGGCGCCAACCTGGCTAGGGTTGTGCCCGTAATTGTAAAAAAAGAAAAAAAAGGGAGAAGATTTCTATCATCAATACGAAAGACCTCGTCATCGTTCACAAAGAGCAATAGAACTCACCTCGAGTCAGCCTGGTGGTCGTCTTTATTGCTACAAGTTAGTGCTAGCCATGTCCCCGGTACGATTTCAGTCACAACAGTACATAAATAGCGGAATCAGATTGTCTACTGGAAAAATACAGAACGACCGAATACTACAGCCCGAGGTAGGCTGGACGAGGTCGAAGTTCATCGTATGAACACCCGTTGCTGATCTTCCTTGTTCCATTCGACCCTTATCTCCGCGATCTGAAAGTTGCAACATTAGCTTCATGCTGCAGCATGAATCACCGCTCTTCCTCTCTGACCTCTACAAACTATGCTCAAGCCATACACCTCCTGGGTTACCATGTGATCGACGCAGCCTCTACAATGCCGGTGAATTTCGCTAGAGGATGGACACGGCCTATCTAGGCCGTTTTCAAGTATGACAGCGCTACGGGGTCCTACAAACTCATTCTAGCGGAATATCTCAAAAGTCATTTTTAACTTGAATTGTGCCTTTAAGTTATAATGAAGCGGCCTGCTGCGGTCGTCACACCTGATGCAAACCGCAGGAATTGCATGGGTGTTGTCGCGCGTAATGTGTGGATGAGATTTGAATGAGTGTTGCGCGCTTTCAATCCGTGAATGTGGTTGCTGTAGGCTGCTGCTTCCAAACCTTATCAAAGACTGCACATGAACTTCCACGTGCGATTGGGCATCCACGATGATCCGGGTGCAAATTTCCATCCGAAGTTGCTATAACATTTGACAATTTAGTAACTCATTTGGGCTTTTGAAGCACTCCCTAGCAATCCGTAATTGATAACGGCCTCGATGCGTTGCGCAATAGCATCATCAACAAATAACCTTATATACGAAAACCTTATATCTCTACGGAAACAACTTCATTTGAACCCACCATACTCTTTTCTTTTCACAATCCGACCACTATTGACTTGAGATCAATTTGCGCTCTGTGTGATGCAGTTTCAAACATGCTAAAAAAGCCATTTTCTCGTTCAACAAGGCTGAGGCATGACGTACGCTGTCATCGTTACTGAAGTAAGAAAGTGTTATATGTGTAATAACATCGGATCGCCCGGTCCCTCTTCCCTCTTCCTGTTTCCCCCATGGATCTTAAGTAGCACGGATACTCCCTAAGGTGTGATAACGACGAAGTGTTCCTGGCTTCGGATAAGTCTTGAGCCCACATCTATTCTTCCCTGACCTCAAAGATCACCTTCATTTTCTTCAAACGCGCAGTTGATTACGGGGTTTCTGGGCCCTGTATGTTTTGCCCATAGCCCAGCAGCCTAGTGGACAGAGGATTATGTTTGACCCATTTTGTGGTGAGGCATTTTTATCCTCATCCGTTTCTGAGAGCGGTGATTAAGGGTGACGAGCGGGATCGAACATCCTGAAGAACGAAAAGTGAGATCGAGTCATGGAAATTCGCTTTCGACAGCCAAAACTACCTGAACTTCGGGCCAGAAATAGTATTCACAACACAACTGTGTACTAAATGAAAAACGCACGCCAGATCGCCATGCCTGTCAACTTTGATGCTTTCTTTCTACGCAACTGCATTCGGTATTGTTGCACTCAACCACCATGACAAGGTTGCTGCTCATCGTTCCCTTTTTGTTCGTTCTGATGATCCAACCCCACTCATGAAAGAGAGGAACAAGTGTTGCTAGGTTCAATCGCTAGTAAAGAGTAACTATTTCAAATGGCAATGCAGGAGTGAGAAAATAAGAAGTGAAACTTTTTCATTTCAGCTCCGAAGGCGTTCCTGTTCTCAAAGGGTGAGCATTAAGACGCCTAAACTTCAACTTGGTGATTCAAAGGAATCATCGTTACACTCACTTACATATCCACATAGATGGACTCTGATAGGGTCTTTACGGCATCATGATTTTGGCAGGTAACCCAGCTCGCAATCAGACTGGTTGCGCTGAGTGTTCACTGGGAAGTTTATTTATAGTGTTATCACGTTAAAATCTGGTCTGAAAAGGGAGCAGTAATATCGAAGCCTCTTTATCTGTTCTTTCCCGCCAGCACTTACACTAGGGCGAAATTGGCGCATCTTGAGGGTTTTGTTGTGAACTTCCAGCGCTTATCTCACCACGACAAGGCTGTATATCGAATACCTTTGGTCAATCGTTTTTCGCAGTACCTAACCTGCAAAAAGCCAATCTTTTTTCCCGTACTCCTGTTCATTTTTTGAAATAGATCTTCCGTAAATTATTCCCACGCGATAAAATAATATAGCTGAGTAACAACTATAAACAGTGCAAGATCCGGGATTGGGGGCTCACCTGAGACGAGTTCGCAGTATCCAGTCTGTGTTCGCCACGTTCTCCTTATAATTTAATGCTGTTTCTGAGCAATTGTAAAGGCAAACATAGAAACTAGGCTTTATAGGGTTCGGGACGCTCTATTTGTACGGAGTTCGATAGAATAGCATTAGAATAGCCACAATTCGCACTTATTTTGCTGCCACGCGGTTGTCCGTGTATTTCTTCTACCAGGTTCCAAACCGTTACCACGAGTACTAAAACTCCTTTATATCCTTCAAATTTAGGTAATTATACCGTCGATACAGTAGGTATACGTCAACAATACCAGAACTATGTGATACTGCCACAAAATATATCATCAGGAGAACTTATGTATGATGTATGGTTAGAGATAAAGTAGGAGTAAGATAGATATCGGATAACTGAAGTAAAGCATGCAGATACAACAAGAGCATGTGAGGTTATACTGAAAACATTGAGGTTAAGAAAGTTCATTACATAGTATCACTAGAAAAGAAAACAGTAAGTAGAAGTAAAGTTAATAAAAGTAATGATAGGGGGATGGATGCATCGAAGTCTAGGATAGGACTGGCTATCCTTTTCAAGGGAACAAAGCCGCGAAATAGCCACTATAATCTTGGGCCTTTTAAACCCTAGTGTTTGCACGCAGAACCATAGTGGAAATCGCGAGGATTCGCGATAGGCTGCTTAAATAGTACGCCAACCGGCCGGCTCGCAAGCTCGCTCGCGGACTATGAAAGCAGCCATGGGCTTGTCGCTCACAGTTCTCACGGACAGTTCCCTCAGTGTGCAATTAGTGCGATGACCTGCAGTCAGAGGACAGCCGCATGATCACAGTGCTTTCGTCGATAGAATTGCTCAGGAGAGCGGCCAACCAAGAAACATGCCAACAATACCTTATCCCGAGTGGATTGCCAATTAGCAAATTCGTTGGTGTGAATTTAGTGGGCGATAGGCGGCTATTACTGTGGGATTTCGCAAAAAGAGGGATTACGTCTGGCAGTGTCACTCCCAGATGCACGACATCCGAGAGATTTCTAGCAAGAATGGATAAGATTCGTTACATGAACATCGTCCTCATTGGTTACCTCACCACGAAACAGAAAAACCTCTAACTAACTGCGAATGATCGTAGGCACGGTGAATATGATGAGCCAAAAAGTCTATTGTGGGGCGTTCCGCTTGTAGAGAATGTTTTGCAACTTCCTTCTTAGAGCAAGCATGACTCCTCTGGTCATGTTAAAATCTGCCATTGGATTGATACGATATCATTTATGATTTCAGCCCACGGAAGGGAAAGGTTGAAAGGTGAGTGGTACCCACTTTTTTAAATTATTGACAAAATTAATGCGATGAATCTCTCCGGGTATTTTGCATAAAACGGTGGGAAAGGGCAGATGCGCAATCATATTTTCCTCGCTTTCTTTTGGTCGTGAATAAGTTAACACAGTTGACCCAAAGTATCCATGAGTATTCCACACTGTCTCATTCACAACGCATGATTACCGGGTGCGTTTCGTTCCGCGCATCCGTCGAAACTAGGTCACACCGCAGCCGTCGCACGCGGCACGTCCGCCCGCGATACTTGACAGACGTCGCATTTGTCAGTTGGGCATACGATTTGCGCTCGGTCCACGGCAATTAGCTCAAAGAGAAGATAACATAGACTAGTGCAAATCATTCGCTCCGTCCACACTTTGTGATACTGTAACATCAACTCTAAACCTCAGTGGAGTGCGCCGCGCGCGAGGTGAGCTGGCTGACCTATTTTTGACGGACGCGCACAACGGACATTCTCTCTCCGTCCACCCTTTGTGGTACTGGAATGTCATTCCAGATCGCAGTGGGCTGCGTCTCGCGCGAATGAGTGGGGTGACGCAGTTACGACGGACGCGCAGAACGGCCTTCCCCGGCAGCAATACTATATAAGCAAGCTTTTCAACGCTAATGAACTACTGTTCAATGTTTACCGCGGAATGCGCAATGCACTAGTGCTGTATCTGATCGCGACTTACTAAGTCTGACGTCCAACATGCCCACCAACATAACGTTGTGTATACTTCAATTACTCAGAGCAGTTTTAGTAACATGTTTGCTTTGGTGAATGTCATGGATCGTTCGAAGACCTTATTATCGAGGTGGTCTCAAGTAGCTGTGGCTGAGCTTCGAGTTTGCTTTGCTAAGGGAAAGAGCGTGCAGTTAATGTCTAGTCCTATGATATGCAGAAGTAGACCAAGCGTTAGAAAAGCGATGCTTTACTGGAATACCAGCCGGAAATATGGAATTCATTAGCTGTCGATCGAGAGCCACGAGAAATGGTTCTCATGGGGAACCCGATTCGGGGTGTGGGACGGGGCATAACTTAGTGAAGTGTGAGTAGAGAAGGAGTAGAGGGAAGAACAAAATGAAAATGCAATCGAAGCGAACAAGTGAAGTGTGGTAAATGCCATCTATCTTTTTTAGCATGCACTGCAACCGTGTAGCTTGGTCCCGTTGGGAATCAAGATGATCATTCCACCAGGAGTAGGGAACCTATTGACATGCAGGGAACACAACAGAAAATCCTTTGCGTGATAGCAGCATTCTACCTTTATGTTTTTCAACAGCAACAAATCCAATCAGTCGTTCATTTCCTCTACCATCTCGCGTTTCTTTCTACAATCTCTATTACTCATCCCTCTCCAACCGGGGAAGGGTTTCAACTTCCCATGAAACTTCGAATAGAGACCTAGGTATATCGATAGGGCTTGGGAAGTTGTTAACAAATACGGAAATTAAAACTGCATTAAATGGGTCTACTGAAAAAGTTGTGAGCGTTTAAAGTTTGCATGCTTAAAGCATGGAGAGATAGTGCCAGTTGATAAGCGCAGATGTCCGCAATAGTCACAAGGGCACTTGTGGCGTAGTGGCAGTGCTATCCCTTCCCAGGTGAGCGTTTAGGGCTTGCTCCTCGTTGTCGACTTCGTTTCTGCACAACGTGCTTTCATTCAAAAAAAGCTCCTAAACCATTTTTTACTAATTTAAGTCAGCACTTTGGTTGGGCTATCATTTGGGATCACCTATCTATCACCTATCACCGCACTTATTCGAAACTTCTTGAGGTGAAGGGGGAGACCCGAATCATCACTTAAGACAGATATGCGTGATAAACAGAATAATGATGAAACAATCCAAGAAATGAGTGAAGCGGATATGTTGTTAACAAAATGCAAGCCTCATATGGACATGCTGTTTCTCTACAACCGTAGATAAAGCGCACAATCGATTTGAGACCAAGAAATACACTTTTTTACCCATTTTTTGGGTTAATTCATCGATATTGAGTTTTCTAGCGTGTCCAAGACTGTTTCACTTTGGGTGTGGGTAATGTGTTTCGGTGTTGAAAATGAAAGCGTTACAAAAATGACGTGCAGAAATTTCAAATAGTTGCGGTGATGGGTGATGGATAGGTGATCGCAAATGATAGCCGAAACAAAGCGCTGACTTAAATTAGTAAGAAAAAGCGGTTTAGGGGCTTTTATCCGGACGAAAGCACGTTCTGCGAAAACCAGTTCGACAACGTGGAGCAAACCCTCATCACTCACCTGGAGAAGGAGAGCACTGCCACTACGCCACAAGGGCCTTGTGGATATTGCGGGCAACTGCGCTTATCAACTGGCACTATCTCTCCATGCTTTAAGCATGCATTTGTTTTCCCGCATTTGTTAACAACTTCCCAAGCCCTATCGATATACCTAGGTCTCCATTCAAAGTTCCATGGGAAATTGAAACCTCTCCCTGATAAGCATAGAAGCTTGGTGTGAGGATTGCAGCAGAGAACCTCATATCCCTTCTCTTCTCCCTCCTTCTCCCTCCACTGCACTCGCCTCACTTCAAATACTTCAAGGTGCCTTAAAAAATAACACTATTTCTTTCCATGTAGATTTGTTATTCTTTACGGCAGGTAGCAAATGGTTGCGTAGTGCATCCTGTTATTAGTCTGAGCATTTGGATGGAATCATTTCATTAACTCTAACATAGCTTCGAAAAGTTTCCTCTTGTTCTGTTGACAGTAATTTTGACCAATTCCAGAGAAAAAACGCGTGCAGGAAAAAGGTACGTTCAGCGAACCATAGTAGAGTCAGGGGATGTAAAAGCTATGAGTCGGAGATGAAAATGTAGGAATTTTGAGGTTTCACGGTGGAATTGCGAAAACACAGGCAACTATAGAAAAGTCTGTGGAGGTGGAAGTACCGGTAAAGCCCTCACCGACTTTGCCGTCACCGACTATGCCGTCACCGATTATGCCGTCACCGACCATGTCATCACCACGACCGGGACCACTTCCTCAGGCGAAACCGCAAGTCAAGGCAAAGTCGCCAAAAAGTTCGTAAACTAAACATTTACAAGTTTATATATGGATTTGATTTCGACCAAATTATGTTATTAAAATCGTTTTTCGAACCTTGAAGTAATCTGCAAAAGTGGGAGCTTATGCCCTTCGTTCTTACTTGGCTTCTTTTTCTTTGATCGATTGCGGACCTGTATATGATTGCGGGTGAAAAGTTTAAGCTCATCTTCATGAATACAATAACACAACATCGTTTTGACCAAAATTGCAACAAATAAGTAGGTTCTAACGCCCAAACTGCTTTTTTGCTTTTCGACTTAGGAAAATGGAAGAGGAACCGTCGATGTCTAAGACAGGTTTCAAGTTAGATATAATGGATGTCAATCGAAGGGTAGGGATAACTCCAGCGAAATCGCCTATAGCGTAGCATCGAAAGCTAGTCGACAGCAACTAAAAGAGCTAATTGATGCGAAAGAACTTACTGAAGGTTGTATCTGGCATCGCCGGGGGCGATTCCCCTTGCTACACCTGCGAGCGTGGGAATCTAGTTGATTGGGTGCAGATATACTGTCTGTTTGTGCCTTTCACAGCTTTTCCTGATTTACATACTTCCGGTTTCTCGTAGCACTGACCTCAAGAGGTCAACATCACACTAAAGATCTTGCTGGTACACTATAATGCTCGTTGTCGTATCTATCCTTCTGAATCAAACCATCTAATATGCCTCTGCACTCTGGCTATCGAATCCATCACCTGACATCAACCACATCTACGATCACTCGGGAGACGGGCGTTAGGAACGATTTTGGGTAATCGATTTGCCGCACGCGGCTGTCGCGGACCACTCATTCGCCGTTATTACAGCTCTAGCGTTCTTCATCAGCTCAATCGATATGCCGATGATCGATCATTATTTTATGCATAATTCTATTATTAGTACTTTTGTTCTTGTATTTCTTACCTACTGCTGCATCCTGCTACATTCCTTCGCACGCGATGCCCCTATCACCGCGACGCGACCATTTCGTTCCTAACGCACCACACCCATGATCACTCTATTCTTCTGCTCTCTATGAATTGTGTCCGTAAGCTTATGGAAGAGAACTGCGTTTGGGAAGCAGTTACAGTACAGCGCTAAGCTTACCGTAATTTCAGAACAACCTGCTGTGCGAAAGAGATTGTCCAGCACACCAATGCGCGAAAAATCGCTGATCGCTCTTGCTGCAAAAGTACGGCAACGAAAAGAACCAAAGCCGTCGACAGTAAGTGTAGTTTTACGTGACAGAGAATTTCCAGGAAAAGAAGTGTTGAAATAGAAATAAGAGCTTGGGAGAGATGGGGTCGAAGTAATGGGTGGAACGCCCATTAATACTGACCAAGAACATTGGGGACATTTGGGAATATATTTTCATCGAAGTGATTCAAATTTGGTCAAAGGGATGGCTGGCATGCTGGTGTCATGTGTTTGATGATGATTTTAACACCTAACCATGACGATGAAGAGTTCACTCTTGGCCCATGATAGATATGGGTGGAGTGCCTGAAACCCACCATTGCTATATGAGTCAGCTCCCATTGTGAGCTACCAGTATGGATTAGAATTACACGAATTTGCTACTGGAAAGTATTGCTGAATTTCCCGTGCTTTAGCTAGGATCAACTCTTGATCGGTTCACATTGGCGCGAGTGAACTTAACGGTTCTCCAGGACCAACTTTCCAGTGTCCTGCTTGTCCGGAAAAAAATAAAAGCCCTGATAGAGCCCTGATAATTAAAAGCCCAAATTGAAGAAACCAATTTTTCTGATCGTAAAAGTGGATGAAAATTATATGAGTAATTCTATATTCTTGTAGAGACGAAAAAGTGTTGACGAAGATCCATTCCCACGAGCGGCCTCTCCTAAGAGAGGCAGGAAAAAGAAGGGAAAATCAAAGGAGGTTGTCTCAAGATAATTTCCTCGTTATTCTTTATTGAAGCCATGAGTATTTCGAAAACAGGTATACTCCCGTTTTCGATGACATACCTACAACTATTTTAGGAAATCTTTGTACCACAAATCGACTCAGCGTTTCTACTGCCGGAGACGTGTGGTGATATCGTGGGTGTCGTTAAACCAATGGAAGTGGATGTCCGCCCCACGGACAACATACTGCCGCGATCTGGTCTTCCCGTCATCAAAGGTAATAAGGATAACGACGGGATGCTGCTGACCAATGGACAACCGTTCTGGTTCACGGATATGCCACCTGTAAGATTTTTCTGATGAAGAAAGGGTGGAAGATTGGAGTGGCAATTCAATTGAACATGTGTGCACCTCTTCATGCCCCTCGTAACTCTGATTATATGCCAGCATGCTGTAACTATAGGAAGTCTTTTTAATATTCAGAGAGGTTCCCTCAAAAGGCATAAAAACCTGCAATCAGCACCGTGGAAACATTGACTTTGCCACTACCTAGTCCACGTATTTCCAATGAATTCAGACATCCCCTTCGAGCATTGAGGGCAGCGCTCCGTAGCTCAAGAATGATCATTTAGGGAGTGTGCTCTACACAACACTAGACCTTTTTTCCTCAGCAAATCCAACCTGCAACCGATATCGAGAACAGAAATGTCGCGCTCCCAACATATAATACAAGATTGTGCTATTTTGACTGAAGGCTTTTACCAATTGCGTTTAAAGAACGTTGTAAATCGAAAAATACCACAGCGCATGGGTGAAGTTGAGTGTAGAATTCGGAAAATGATTTTAATTATGAAAAATATACAAAAGAAAATACACAAAATGCCGAATCTCTGACGCGCTGCGAAGGGCAGCAGATAGGGAAGATTGCTGATGAACTGAGCATGCATCAGCGGTCGAGGGTTTGCTGTATCATTTTCATATGCTTGGTATGGTCTCAGTCTCCATGGATTGTAGGGAATGTTTGGCATGAAAGAGATAGGGAAAATGTAGCCCACGATGCTGCGTCGCGGTGGCTTTTCGGCGCAGTGACTAATAGCGCCGTCAGTGCTGGTAGAATGCGGGTTCAACGCCCCGAATACACGTTCGCTGATGACATTGCTTTACACCCACCGAGATTTCTGATTGTTATGATTACCATTCATGCAACACCAGCTGAGAACGCTCACATTTTGATAACATTACTATCATTCACCGGGTCCTTACAATTAGTCGCCATTTAAAGCACACACGCCACTGATTCGCGTGACGAAAACAAGCGACCATCATATAACTTAACTTCCATTCCCTTGGGGTGATAGAAAATTAACGATTAGCTTGATAGCGTATGGTTTATTCGTTAAACATTCTCTACAACTAGTGTTGATAGAAAGAAACCACCAAATTCTGGAGTGGGACAAGGGAATTTTTTATTTACCCAACAAGAGCTCAAAACTGAACTTATAAACCTTCACTCGTTGCAGGACGAAACTGATGACGAACTTGTCATGAACGCATCGGTGCTGATCGAAGTGATGGAAAATCGTCGCAAATTAGTGCCCATGCCAGATATTGAGTAAGTCGCAGAACTGCCAAAATTCCATCCACAGGCTTCTAGGGGAGAATCCACTTCTGTAGGAAAGAGGTTTTCCATTTACAAAACGTAACCATTGGCGGTCTGCCTTCGTGTTCAAAAAGTAGATGAACATATAATTTGTATCTTTACTGCCATCAAGGGGTAATATCTGGATGTTATAAGAAGTTTTTATGACGGATAATGGCCAAGGGCGACCAGATTCATGCAAATACAACTACTGGTTATAGCAAGGCCAATGCACCCCATAGAGTACTTATGCGCCACGATTAACTCGCCAGAATTACAAGTCACATGGTCCCGCAATCATCATGCTTAACTTTTTTTTGAGAAGATCTCTAACACCTGCTCCAAGTGAATCGTTCTGCACCGACTTACGAAGTTTGAAGGTACAGTTTACGATAAAAATGGATGTTGAGAATTGCGCATCGGATGAGTTTGGGGCCTCTACTGATACCATATGGGCCGATGTCAGGTTGAGAAACGTCCTGGATAGAGCACAATAAGGGGCCAGACACTGTGTCATGTGAATGCCACACCCACAGCAGACGAGTTTCAACGGGCGTTGTAGAGGCTGCGCAGCTCATGAAGGAACCTACATAGAGAGTTCAAACAATTTTTCATGTTCCATGGCGACAGTGGAAGAAAGCTTTGAGCCATGTTTGCTCGACATAGATACAGCTCTGTGCGTAATTGCAACAGTTGAAATCTCGCCCGAATATCCCTTTCATGCCATTTCCGCCACGGTGATCTCGTGCAACACCTATTTTCACTACATTTGATGAGGCTTATTCTTTGCGAAATCGGCGGATTTTCTCTCTTTCCCTGCCACCGATGCACTATCCTCAAGGAACACATTCGTTTCCCATCTTAGAAAGGGTACCTCAAATTTATCGTGAACCGTGCCTTCAACGTAGACCCCTGCCCACTTTAAAAGTAATGCCCTCTGTTATCTCTTAGCAACTGAGGAAAAAGTTCGGTCCAAAGACAGTATCGGAGGGGATTTCTTCTAAGAGAGTAATATTAGCTTGAGCGAATGATGAAGCATTTTTCCCTCGTTTTTATTTGAACACAACATATTACAGAAGCGGAATCATCATCGCCTTGAACGTCAGAGCATCTTTTTTTCATCCTCGTCAAACCATAGAAATTCTCTGTTGTTCAGAATCGTGCTGGATCCAATGGAGGAAACTACTGTGCTAGCGGCTAGGGATAAATCTTGTTATACGAGAGATGTACTGTTCGGCAACACAGTGCGCAGTATGGTGAACCTTAATGGTGAGCACATACTATGTGGTTACTTTCAGTGCAGTTCATTGAAAGGTACAGTTCACGCTAAAAATGGATCTCTTCCTTGGATGAAACTGCGACCCCCAAGGATAGCCTAAGGACGCTGTCGAGTCGAAAAGCGGCTTAGTCAGGGCGTATTAAAGGCTCTGGAACTCGCTTAGACGTCCACACTCACCGCTGGCGAATTATTAAGCATTGTAAAAGCTGTGGTGGTTGCATCATTCGTACCGGGACCCACGCCTTACACGCAGGCGCCAGCCGTAGGCAGTAACGTGCGCGTTTGAACAACTAGTCCGAGTACGTCTTCCAACTGCAAGTTCCGCCGCCACATTCTCGTCCAAGTCTAATTTTACTCCTTTTTGGAGGCGTTCCACTTCTCCGCACACAAATTCCCACGTTCTCTTCACCACTTTTCACTGTTCTGGACTATCGCTTCCATGTTTCGTCCACGTCTAATAGTCACCCGAAAATTATCGTGATCTCTGCCTTTCTGTATAATGGTTCTCTGGTGAATTTATTACAAGTTCTGCGTTTATAATCTAGGCATGAGCATTAATAGTAGTCAGAGGCTTAAACGTAATATAATATGTAACAAGTGAATTTTCAGAGCTCTCTATAAGAGCCCTGTCGATTAAGGGCCGGAAGAAGGCAGTTGCTCCCGTGGAACCAGACGAGTTGAGATCGCTGGCTATGGAAGTGCCAACGGTCTTGCATTTGTACTACGTAAGTGTCGACTTTTGATAAAGCTCTATGATAAGGTGGTATTATTCATCATTACACTATACTAATCCTACTATATATAAATCGCTAAGTTGTCTCTTGGTTTGTCGGGTGTGTGTCCTACCGGAAATTCATAACTCCTATTCCCGTAACCTAGAGAGTCAAATTTAGTAGGGGTACGGGGGGCGGGATGGGAAAAAATAATTATGCTGGGTGGCAGGGCTGAGCTTCGCCCAAAAGGGGCGGGACGTGTGCAATAAAAATTTGGGCCGCAATTTCATAACTCCTGTTTACGTGGTCCTAGAGCGTTGAAATTTGGTAAGAGTACAGGAAGCAAGATGGAGACGCTGATTGCATGTGATAGGAAGTGGTAACAATTGATGGGGTTGATAAAGAGCCTTAGAAGGCGAGAGACGCAGGATCCGTTACCTGTTTCATTGGTAGAGCCTTGGAACTTTAGAATGTGGTCTGTGATTAAAAGGGTTCGTTAATAGGGACTGATAAGAACCTATTCAGACTGATGACGAGTCATAGAAGGCGAGAGCTACTAGGCCTATAACGCCCTTCGTTTTAACAGCGCAGACCTGGCACTTCAGTAAGTGGTGTGGGATATAAAGGGATCGTAGATGATTGGTGGCAGTGACTGATAACTTCGAATAAGAAGGCGGAGGCGGTTTGGTGGCAAAAGGGCACTACCACGAACACATGTTCACGGGTTGGGATTCCCGATCGATGTCCCCTCAAGATACTAAGTCTTCCATGCCTCTAGAGCAGGCTGATTGATACTAGCCTTGTGTGAGAGGATGAAGCACGAACTTGTCTATCGTGCGATAAGAGCAGGATCCGTTCATTTACTATAAATAGACGAGGATAAGTTAGCTTAAACTTGAATCACTCCGAAATACTGACTGTGCTGTCAGTCAAACTGTCCTGCACTCTCATTTCAGAGGAAAACCTACGACCAATTCTCAAGGATTCCGTTTGTACCTACACCCAAGAAGCCACCACTGTCGGGTTGCTGAAACTTCGTTGAGAGTCAGCAGGGGCGGCAATCAAGAGATCAAAAACTGTGTTTATTTCACTTTGTACAAACAATCTTGAAATCAAAATACCTGTCTGCTTAGAATAAAATTGCAAAGCGAGGTTTATGAACAGCAAAGGGTGACACGTGGGTGTGCCAAAACGTTTCTGCTGTAAAACTATTGTTTCACTCTTACTGTACTTATTTACTGCTATTATTTGTAGTTTACCTTCCATACAACAACAAATTGAGTATCCTCAACAAATTTACAGTCAGGGGGCAAATTCCGGACTTTGGCTGTTAAGAGTGAAAGCACTGACGCGTCAAGTAGCTAGTATACGCTAACTACGATAAGGCTAAACTACTAAATGCCTTTCCAGTGTTACCCTGGATTTGAATGGAGACCAAATGCGAGGTTGTATCACAGAAACGGGATTAGTAAATAAAAAAAANTCCATACAACAACAAAATGAGTATCCTCTACAAATTTACAGTCAGAGGGCAAATTCCGGACTTTGGCTGTTAAGAGTGAAAGCACTGACGCGTCAAATAGCTAGTATCCGCTAACTACGATAAGGCTAAACGACTAAATGCCTTCCCAGTGTTACCCTGGATTTGAATGGAGACCAAATGCGAGGTTGTATCACATAAACGGGATTAGTAAATAGAAAAAAAGTTGAGCTTGAAGCACTCCTATGTATCGCACCGTTCAATTATCGTGCTCTCGACCCTCTTCAAAGAAGTTCGACAATGGAAGGATTGTTCACTCGAATAAAAACAGCGTAGAAATAATCAAAGAGCGATGTTCCATTGAATCACGGCCCCTGAAAATTTGGCTGATAGTTGCTTGCTCGTCTTGAGGATAGTCGTATTACGAAGAAAGTGATGAAGAAAATGAATCAATTAGATGAGTCAGCAAACAGAACAACAATGTACAGATTATTGATCGCGTTTGTGAAGCCCTAGCATTCCTCCTTCACAGAAGAAGCGGATTTACTCTCATGGCTACTAGATCACAACTTTGAAGTTATTCACTGCGCTTTCACTCTTCACTTCAAATTGTACATATTCTGTTTGTATCTCTACTCCTTTTTGTATCAGTGTATCTCATGAAGTTTCGAAGTTCCAACACGGATCCGCTTTCATCGTGCAAAATCCGCATCCCAACAAATCAAAGGCACAGATCACGATAATTTTTCGTAATCCAGATTATGATGAAAAATGGAAGACAAGATCGAAAATAGTGCGATGAAGGTGGAGAAACTGCGTNAGCGATACAATGTGTCTGTAGCAGAAAGAATAACAGAGGAAAGAGAATGAGGGAAAAACACCGCCTCATCACTCGGCGACCAGCTGATTGTGTGTGGGTCCTAGAACGAATGGTTTCAAAATGTATTGTCTCGACACTCGTCTGACGTTATGACGTGACATCGATCGAGAGGTGGGAAAGCCATTGACGTTCCCTCCCATTGAATTATTGTGAACTCTACCGCTGAAAAGAGACTATTCTGCTCTTCTTTATAGTTTGCCCTTATTGTTGCACCAACCACTTTTTGTTGAATTTTCCTAGTATCTCGCCCCTTTACCAGCTCTCAATCGTTATCGGGTGGAGGTGGTGTAGTGATAAATGGCGCACTTCACACACGCACAGTCCCGGGTTCAAATCTCTGATTGATATCCGCCTGGATCCTGACTTCGAACGGAAGCCTGCGGTCAACCCCCAGGCGGGGTTGATTAAAGACACAAGACTCTGTCCTTTATCCTTTATCAATTGCACTCATGGTCAGTCCCTGTCACCAATCACCCCATGATCCTGACGTTATATCATCCAACAGTCTGAACAGTTCCTTGCTTTTCTTATGTGGGACGTAGCAGATCCAGCGTCTGCTGCCTTCTTAGACTCATTATCAGCTTCTACAAATTATTGCCACTTTCTGCCACTCACCGTCAGTTTTTCCAACTCGCTGTCTGTGTACCATCTAATTTCGAACGTTTCACGCGCAGGAGGACAGATCACACCCACATACCAACACATACACATCCCAAACAATATATGCGCACAGACAGTTATAGAGCGCAGCACATTACGACCTGTACAGTACAAGCGCTATCACTAAAATTATGTACACTATGCTACCTTTCGAGCTTCCTCCCAGTTACTACCACTCAACTTCGCGATAGGTTTCCCATATTACTATCGTTATGATAGTTAAGGAAGTTTTGCGGTCGAACAGACAGGCCGACAACCTATGAAACGATAGAATAACAATTCGACACACCAGGTTACAACTCTATGCATGGAGGGTAAGTTCAAGGGAAAATAATTTCCCCAGAAAGACGTGCTCACCAATATCGTTTACGAAAGAGTGGAGTGAGATGATTCATAGTGGACCTTGTCCGAGGAAGACGTCCTACGTGTATCTGCTTGGTGTCTGCAATCTCGTTCAGAGTGCCTTTTGGTGAGCGAAGGGAAATAAAACAACATGAACTACGAATGGAATTTCAGTCAGCTCCGAAGTAGTGGAACTACATTAGAATGGGAAATCCTCACTCCTCTTGCAGTAGTATCGAAGTTGTAAATGGAAGGAATAAAGGCGCAGTGTGGTTGACTGAAAAACACACTCGTCCACTGATCAAAGGCAAAAAAGTCATGACGTTTTTCTCTGCAGAAGAACAGGGTTTCACGTTCCCTACAACTTTTGTTTTGCCCAAAAATACGAGAGAAACACCATGAAGGCCATTATGTCGAACTTTGCTCCAACGGTGGTTTGTTTCATCAGTTTTTCATTGTGAATTTTTATAGTGGGCACCAGTCACTAGAAGTACGAAACCAAAGAGGGGCGGAATTCCGACTGTATCATTCGTGTCCCATAAACCCGCCGCTTGAAGCTTTCTTCCATTCAGTTTCACCTTCAACAGTTAGACATGAGTACTATTCCGTAATTAATAAAAAAGCATTAATTAGAAAAAACATCAGGTCCAATCAAATATCGATAATTGCAATCAGCACCATAGGGGCTCAGGCTTAGGTTTGCTGCTTTGGATTTCTCATCGAGTTCATTTGCTCAACGAGATCCTTCGTGTCCTGATTTCACTTCTTCAGCTGTCTCTTTTAGAATCCTTTCTCCTCTACCATGCGTTAAGCCTATCGCAAGGTTCGCTACTCTTGTCAGTGCCATCCAGCTACTTCTACTTGCGCATTTTCTGCCGTTACTCTAGCTTCAGCGAGGTCCTTCTCGTGGTCACTTCCTTCTGGTCTCATGCTCTGTTGCCTCCTTACTGAACGATTTGATGGTCCTCTCAGTACGTGTCCGTACCATGGTAGAAGCTGCTCTCTCATCTTCAGCTGGACAGGGGTTGTATGCATGACCGCTCTGACGTTTTCGTTTCTAATCCGGTCCAGTCTCGTCCCACCACAGGTCCATCTGAGCGTTCTCATTTCAGCGGAGTGAAGCTGTCTTTCTTGATTCCTATTTATAGGCCAGCACTCACTGCCGTAGAACACTGCCGCGGGCCTTACCACTCTCCAATACACCTTTCCTTTGAAAGTCGAACCGCACGGATGGTCGCACAAGATACCGGTGGACTCTCTCCACTTTATCCATGATGTGTTTATTCGGGCTTTTACAGCCTGTTCCGCTGCCCTTACCAGCTAGGCCACTTCCCCCAGGTATCGGAAGTACTGTACCTCCAGTGGCTTCCCAAAATCGTCTACGATTAAGTCCGGGTGTTCCTCAGAGCTCAGGAACCTGGTCTGTCGTGATAGCCAGACACGGAGCTACTTCACATTCAGCTAGAGCATATTCTCCGCCAGCACTTTCTGCCTCTTCTGAAGCAGAACTGGAGTCTTCTCTGCTCTCCGCTTGGTGCACCCCAACCGTGAAGTCTATCTCTTTGTTTAGGTCGTGTTAAGTGCGTATTTCTCTATGGAACCGTCGTGTCCTTGACCAAGAAAATCAGTGTCTTTAGTTTTGTCTTCGCTTTCTCGATACCTCTTCTTTTCGGGCTGTAACGACAGGAACACTAGTAGACTTCTCTAGCTTGAAGCCAATTTGCTCTTGAACGAGTTCCTTTAATCTTGAGCCGATACCGCTCGTACAGCTTCATCGTTTGTGCACATATCCTGATCCCCAGTAGTTGGATGAACCCAACACGTCCCTCTTCTGTTAGTATTGGGAACGATGGTCTCTGGAAGTCTTCCTTCAGCGACCGCAGTGTTCACGAATCGAGGGAGTCACCTAATCCGATGGGGCCAGTCGGGGTGTGGTGCGTTAGGAACGAAATGGTCGCGTCACGGTGAGAGGGGCGTCGCGCGCGAAGCAATGTAGCAGGATGCAGCAGTAGGTAAGAAATACAAGAACAAAAGTACTAATATTAGAATTATGCATAAAATAATGATCGCATATCGATTGAGCTGTATGAAGAACGCAAGAGCTGTAATAACGGCGAATGGGTGGTCCGCGACAGCCGCGTGCGGCAAATTACCCAAAATCGTTCCTAACGCCCGTCTCCCGGCCAGTCGTAGCCTCTATCGCATTGTAAGAGCTGTATTCTACGAGCTGCGGAATCCTTCGCTCAGAAGTCTTTAGGAAATTCTTTCCAAGTATGTTTTAACACATTAAGCTTCCTCTAAATTGCACCGCAGCTGTCCTTTACAGATCCCACTACTCGAAAGTCTAGAGTAGCCCGATGACGAGCTTTGGCCAGCCGGAAGGCGAGCTTCTCTATTTCTCGACCACAGAGCTTCCCGTACTTGGCGTCTATTACCGTCCTTCCGTAGTACAGCCTTTGCGAGTATCCTGCAACTTCTGTAGGCAGCTGGTACTCCTGGAGCTCGCTCCTTCTGCCAGCGCTATAGGCTGCTTTCTTTTAGCTCACAACTCGCTGGGCTTCATCGTTCAACAACCACGCTTTTTTGTCCCTTCGAAATCCACCTCGAGTATCTACAGTGTCTTCCTCGCACACATAGGATGACTTTCACAGTGCTGCTCCAGGCTTGCTGCACCGGTCCTTAGGGGTCCGGGAGACCACCTTCCACGATCTTCCGTTCGAGATCCTTTCGTTTGGCTTGGTGCAGCTTCCACCACAAGATCCTCAGCTTCATTCTTGGCCTTGACTCCCTGAGAGAATCGATGGCTATTTTTGCTAGCAAAAGCCTGCGCTACGGAACCACTTCTTCGGCATGCACTACCTTGGCATCCTTTACAAGTTCGAGAGACGATGTTCTCACGAGGACGCGGTCTACTTCTCTTTCTGCTTTGCTGTCGGTTACTTTCTCAGTCTTCTTTCCCTCAAATAAGATGTTGCTGAGAATGGGCTGCTTCGCTTCTGACTTCAAGTAAAATTCTTTGGCCGAGGTAGCTTACTCTTCGCTAGTCCAGTACTAGGGTGCGGTTCGTGCATCTAGGACATCTTGGGTTTATCACTGATTCTTTTTGAGATTTGAGCCATATTTATTGCGACTGTGTTTGTATATCAGCCAGCCTTTTGACTGGGTCTGACGCTAGAGCCAATACCACTTCTGCAATTTCCGCAAGGCATGGATTTTGCTTCGGCTGGGGTCGAGCTGACGCTCTTTCGAAGTGGAGACATGGCCTCAACTCTTATCTACTCGGCTATCCCTGCCTCTATCCACTTCAGGATGACCACGGGTTTATAGTTCATGGTACTGAAAATTCTTAAGGCATGCATCTTGACATAACGGCACTAACTACAGCTCTCACANTCAGTTGCATTGAGGTTAAGTGCCTTTTTTCAGTCAACCCGACCGTGAAGAGAAGCCTGCATCAGAAGAAGAGAAGCGATCCTTACGCAACCTCACTACTGCTATTTTTATATAGAACGATCAGAAATATGTCCAATTAGGGGTCGATCAATGTACGACCATCGGTATCAGAGGTCACAGATGAAAAATAGGAAGCGGAGGTCCCTTCAGAATATCATCTGAATAAGTTGCCTCATTAACGAAAAAAAAAGAATGAATAAATGGGAATAACCAGAACTAGGAGATAAAGGATAATACCTATTGACAAAGGCTACTCAGCCCTATTGGAACAACCTCTTTCACTTTCTAGATATGCCTATTTGAAAGGAAATATAGTTGCATTGAGCCACTCGCCTTTGGGTGGCGGTACTTCTCCACGACTTCCCACGGCAAGTGCCAGTAAATCTGCAACGGTTACAGCATCCCTGCACCAAGATTTGAAACCTTCCCCTTAAACCGCGCGATCAGGTGCGGCGAGCATAAAGTGATTTTTGGGGAGAAGTACCCACTTGCCTTGTTTTCGCCTTTTCGTCTGCGCTCTCACAGCGAGAGTATCCTACTGGCCAATTTCTGTTCTATTGCAACTTCTCACAAGGGGTGACCATCTCACTCACAGTGCTTTTCCTTCCTTAGGTTCAGGCTAAAAACCCCATCGCCTGGCTCTGAATTGTTTCTTATCACAGATCGGCGGAACCCGCGCTTTAACTTTCTATGGTTCTAACAATAGGCATTAGCGAGGTAGAGCACAGTGTGGTGTTCCCTTTCAACTACACCTCAACCAGAGCCTCCACCCGAGAAACCGATTCCAAACGATCTAAAAGATGTCACCTGGCACAGTTGTACGTGCCGAAAACCGAGTAAAACAAAGCGTCGTGATACGGTAGTGGCATACTATACGCAATTGCGGACAATCATTACTTTAGGCGGAAGAAGGGCAAGGAGGAAGATTTTGATCTCGGCACTCATTTGACAACCTAATTAATGTTTATTCACATGTTTTGAGATGATGCAGTGTTAATATTATAATAAATACCACTCTGGTCAGAAGTAATTGTTGCCATATAATTAGTTAACCGGCTAGTTGAGCCACTGCTCTTCGAACATTCTTTCACGAATCACTGGGTTCTTCCAATTCTCTTCAATAATTCCATTATTCCCCTTCTTCGAACTTTGAGAAGCAAGTTGCTTGAATCACGGTCATCTATTGCTGCTGCCATGTTATAGCTGCCATCTCCTTACTCTTTATGAAGCCAGAGCAAATCCCAACAAAGAATGGAGTTGCGTACGAAGATTTAGATCGAGATTTTTCATCCTTGGACAACCAGCTAAAACGAGGTATGTGATTTTACTTTTGACACCATGGTCTTTTTTGCGCCTCCCAGCTTTTATTCTTGTTTGGCTGTTCTTTACAAATAGGATGTCTGCTTGGAGCTCGAGATCGATAATTTTTCAAAAAAATTATGCAAGAGATTCATAGAGCGCCTCAAGAGGTCGTTGTAAATTGCTCCAACCTCATGAAATTCCAGTTTTTTGCAAATCGTCCAATAACCTTACGATTACCTTATTTAAAAGCTAAAGGTTTTGCAGGATCACACTGTGCTGTCGAGTTACGAGTACTTACCTTAAATGTATGGTGTCTCCCTCAGCCATGGCCTATCGGCAGCAAAGATAGGAAGCTTCGTTTGAAGAAGCTCGCCGATGCTATTCTTATAGAGAAATACGACATTGTAGGATTGCAGGTGAGTCATCCGGAACTCTATATATGAGCGATGAGGTGGGATGGCCCGCTCACTTTGTTTTACCTTCATATCCCCCTAAACTCGTGCGCCCGTTCTGTAGGCTATACAATTAATGTGGAGAGAAATGCGCCATAGTAGATTTTGGCTCCCTCACAATACTTATAGACAAGCCAGACAATGGACATAGGCATTTGAGTGTCGCTGAAGATGGAGCATTAGCGTAGCGGTCCCATCGGTTGCGAGAGGGGATAAATTCTATTTTAGTCGGTCTAACTGGCAGTGATGTTCCATCTGTCTGAGTCATATTTGTTTTTTTTTTCATGAAACTAGTTATTTGGATGAAAATGTGAAATTACTTCATCTGTTATCTTATGGCGCTGTGTTTGAAACTTTAATCTTTTCCGTGTTTCCAAAGTTTATTTTGCAGGAAATATGGAGCAACAATGACTACTTAGAGATGGCGGAGAGATTGTCATCATCGTTTCGCTTTCATCATTATTTTCATTCCGGTTTCACTGGTAGCGGTGTCTGTGTGTTCAGCCGGTATCCTATAGTCTCAACGCTTACTCACAGGTGAGTGATCCTTTATTATGAAGTTACAAGGAGTTCTAAGTCAATCAGTAGGTGATTTTACATGACAGTGCAAAGCCACAGCAAAAATAGCCAAGTTATGCTCTCTCGGTTCTGAACTTTCTTTCTTTTTGAAACTAAGACGAAAACTTCTCGAGTTAAATCTGAACGTGACAGCAGAGACCTTTTATGAACTTACACCGTGAATAAATACATTCAGATACTCGTTGAATGGATTTGCTCATCACATCCATCGTGGAGATTGGTTCGGGGGTAAGGTTAGTTGTTTTGTAGTATTTATTAGAAAATTTCTTTTGTTCTTCTCTTATATGCATTTTTATCATTAAGGTTGTTGGGTTGGTAGAAATAGAAGTTGGGGAAGTTCGTGTCAATTTCTATGTTACACATCTTCACGCAGAGTATAATCGTGAGAATGATCTTTATCTTCCACACAGGTAGGTTGAGACTGAGGCGAACATTTGATCTGTGAAACTAAGTTTTTGTTATTTAAGAACGTCACAATCGTTTGAACTGAGTCAATTTGTTCGCCACACCTCTCGTGGTGCCGATGTCGTAATTGTAGTTGGAGATTTTAACATGGAACCAGAAGATCTAGGATTCAGGTATTATTTGTCAATGGCGTTCGAATTTATTGTTTTATCACGGGAAGAATTCTAGATAGAAGTGAGACTCATTGTTGAGTGAATTGCGTGGCGAGTAGTGAAGGGTGAGGAAAAAGGGCCCAAACAGGAAGGGAGGAGGTTGCCACATGTACTAATATATGGAGCAGGTAAAATATGTGCTGAAAGGGTGATAGTATACCTGATTCCTCTGAAAGCTCATCATTGCAGAACTAGTCATGAGTAATCCTTCATAATCACACGGGTAACCTATTCGAAACCTGGAGCTGCTATTTAAAAATGGTTTGTTTTCTGGCAAACAGCGAGCCTGATTTCATCAGCATTTCATTGCCCGTGACCTAACGGTGACGTGAGTCAGCCGATGTAGCCGTCATTCTCTGTTACTCCTACACATCTCTAGTACCAAATGGCCAACCAGGCAAATGGAAAGCTCTTCTGCCTTGAGCAGGAGCCGATCTGTGTTTGGTTCTTCCATCAACTTACAATGAAAGTTGTATGGAAAGAAATGTAAACATCTCCTTGGTTGCGCTATACGTTCTCAAATGATAAGAACAGTCCACATCTGCTAGACAACCGTCTGTTAGATAATCTCACGAGGGAGATAACAGGGAAAGTACTTTTTTTTCCCTATGGAAGGCACTTTATGCATTTTAATGTGCGTCCAAGTATACAGAAACCTTTTCGCGATACAGTATCGTCAGACTCAAATGTAGAATGGATCTTTCATCTCCTGACTTGTCTGTTTGATAACTCTGAGAAGAAACAAAGGAAGAAGCACCCGAAAGTATAATATATGAAATAATTCGTCCTCTCACGGGACAACTATCTCATTTGCAATTTGTAAGGACCCTGTATCAATTCCTTGAACGTCCTAATTTCTATTATTCTATTTCTATTATACTGTAATTTTGTTGCTAATTTTGGATGCACCTTCCACCACAGTGATTCCTTTTGAACGTTGTCACGGTTGACCTTGCTATACCACAGAATCGCATAAATCGCAAACGCATCGTTTGCCCATACAACAATTTTGTTTACAACTCGACAATCGCGATCGAGAAACTCATTTCTATGAATTTTGAACTGTGCTGATACTGGCTAAACGGAATTCGTACCGATGAAGTAGATTATGACGCTAAAGTTGATAGAAAGCAGTAGCCTCACAGTTAAATCTGACCTTGATATTGGACATTGTTTGTGAGTGTTAGTTACACATCTTTTCAGATTAATTCTTTCGCAAGTCCGTCTTTTGGATGCTTGGCGGCTTGCTCATCCTATTGCGTCCCCCGAGGGCGAGTCACCATCAGTTTCATCCCTCAGTCAATGCCGAGGTGTTGTGCATGGTGGAACATGTGACCGTCCTGATAATTGTTATTCTTTGAAGAAATTCAGAGAGAATGTAAGTTTGGCATTCTGGTAAAAGAACTTTTCCTGGTGAGTTATGCGTAATTTAAGGATGAGAGTAAACGAATAGACTACATTCTGTTCAAAAGCGAGCAAATGTCTGTCTCATTAGAGCAATGCGACATAGCAATGAATAAGGTAAAGTCTCATTAAAGTTTGATTTTTCTCTTCTTCCTTCAATTCCTATCATTATTTTTTTTGACTGTTACCCCAATCGAGCGTCTTCTTGCAGTCCGATATGTCGATTTTTTTGATCCATGTGGGGTAATAGTGTGTACAAATATTAGTTTGCAAATAGCAGCTTTCCGAGCGTGTAGTTAACTCCATGAAATGCATTTGCAGATTCCAAATGAAAACCTCAATTATTCCGATCACGTCGGGGTTCAGGCTCGTTTCAGGATTGAAAGTGGAGAACGTGATGTAGGTTCTTATACGATTTTTGCCTGGGGTTTCCTTTCGGAATTTGACTGTTTTCTTTCTTTTTCTTCTTTTCCTTTTTGCTTTAGATCCTCAATGTTTCTTTTTATTTCTCTTTTGCATATGCGACCGCGATCAAGATGAATTGCGCTCAGTTTTTCCGAATTGTCAAATTAAAATTCGGCTTCACTTTTGTTCACAGTAGGTCGTTCGTGCCACGGCGTGACTTCTTGATAAAGCCGCACGTTAACTCTCTTCGGTTTTTAACACCAACCGGTCTACGTTCAGATCACCAACTTGAACTGAATTTCTTGGCGTTAACCCTTTAGTGCTCTTGAATCTACAGAGCTCGGGTGGGAAACTCAATGCGCCAGTTTCAGGTATCATACAGGAGGCGTCATATGTACGTCATATAGATTATTTAAAAGCCTTCGTAAAAACTGGGTCTATCCATTCGGCCCGTCAGCCTGGGCCTAACCTTGCTACCGTAACATGTTTTGGAAATTTGCATGGAAGAGTATTTGCCTCGAAAAAGATCGCATGGCTTTACTAGATGCCGACATGAGCCATCTCTCTCAGCATCTCGAGTATTCCTATTCGAATGACAAACGGTATGAATCGTTGGAAATTGCTGAGGCGAACTCCGCAAATCTCACTCACTGCCGTTTCCCTCTTATGGGAGGTTTTTTAGTTGTTGGTGCCAAGGCTATGTGGCGCGATATCAGGTGGTTTATACGAAAACAAGTCGCGAACCAAAGGTCACTCGTTATCGTCTAGAGACGCAGTTGAGTGCAGAGATGGAGATCATATTCCGGCTGTTTTGAGTCGATTTATACTTTCTGTCTCCCCATGCATATGTGTGGGAGTTTGGTTGTTTGGCTTTATCCTGCGCATCATCTCGGAAACATCTTGCATACGAAAAGCTGGGAAATGCTTGAGAGACGGTTCACGGTCGTCCCTAACAAGTAAGCACCTTGCTCACTCTGCATAGCGAATAGTTCCTGGAGTCTACCCAGCTCTCCGTCAGAGCCCAGCATTGAGTAGGAGTGCTCGAAAGAGTTGCTGAAATCTCGGGGCTCATATTCAATGATAACAGGCTGCTTAACAGAGTAAATGCTAGAATGATGATCTTTATGCTGAATCAATCACCAAACGCTCGTATCGGAAGCGTGCATCTGCGATGTAATTGTGCAAACTAGAAAAGTCAAGCGTAGACCATGACAAGGAGGCGTCGCCGCATGTCCTTTTCGATATTGTGAAACGAATCTTTCTAGGACCATGCGACAGCAGAGGCTTCGGTAATATGCTGCCGCTATATGCGATATGTATGCTTTCGTCAAAACGCACTTGACCATAACCGTTGATTCAACGAAGGCTTGACATCCCGAGTCTAGTTAAGAAAAGGGCTCAGCCTCAGCTTCAACAGACTTCGTTGTCTACACAACATCACCACGAAATGAAGATGGTTTGCTGAAAGCGTCTTATATGAACCTGGAAAAGCTGTACAGATAGGATAATACTTTCTTCAAGATCATCATCGGTGATTCCAAGATCAGCTCCACATGAATGGCTGAGGAGTTTCACATGGGGTTCGCAGTATGGAATGGAGTGACCAGCTTGAGATACTCTCCGAGTTTATTACGTTGGCCCACAGCATCCCTTGTTTGGAAATCCAGAAACCTTTCGTTCACAACAGCGAAGTATGCAGCAACCAGTTAGTCATCCGTTGGCTATGATCGGGCACCCATGTTTGTTGTGACAGAGTCGGATTGTTCAATTAACAAGCCATTCGATCTCAAAACAAAAAATTCATTCTGACCAAAATGTTTTTAAAAGGGAATCTACTCAACTGCAGGGCCACTACATTCGACACGCGGTGCAGAATAAGGCAAGCATTAGCAAACCTACAGATACCTTAGACCGTTATATAAAGCAGGATGATATGGTCTTTGTTGTGTTATTACTACGATTATCCTCACAACAAGTGAGCTTTTAGGCTCCCTTATTACTGTCATCATCCCAATTTGAGGTGGGTTTTTACACCTCTCAGCATGAACTAACAAAGTTTTGCGGATGGGCAAACAGGCCAGCACATTAACAATTCAACTACCTAACCGACACACCGAGTTACTGCTCAATATAGTCCTAATATTATTCATCACAGAGACTGAGGGCTGTGACCTCATTTGATTCTATTATCACTTTAACGAGATTATCAAATGCTTCACAATATTGCCTCTCATAAGTTGAATTTCAGTTATCGTGTGAATGGGAGCCTAATCGGCCGCTGCTGATTGAGGCAATAGGAATAGTATCGGGTGGACAACGAAGAGCACGCTCCGATCGCACGTGGTTTGTCTGTGGCGCGATATTCATATTCGTTACTATTATTTTATCCTTATTCCTGGATAAGGTCTTTCCGGTCATATCTTTGCTGTTGTCAGTATTTAGGTGAGTTGCAAGATTTTTCTATCGTGCAGTATATTTGTAACCTAATGGTTTATACAACAAGTACACAAGTAACTTATTTGTGGTTGAACAGCCATGAAAATCGCACCAATCAGCACCGGGGGGGGGGGGGGGGGGGGG